TCTTCTTTGAAACAGTCGTGGGACCCTTTACTTCAAACTGAAGGTGATGGCCAAGCCTCATCTGACAGATCATGCCTCAAATAGTGCAGCACTCTCTCAGTACCACACTCTCCACAGTTAAGCTTGGGTGACACACTCAAAACTTCAGAATAATAATTGAAGTTACAACCTCCAGATGTAGCGACAAAGCAACTATCCACGGTTAATACTAATGGTCCAGCACAAAAAGATAAAAACCAGGGCGAGGAATGTGAGGTAGAATCTTACCAAGCTTCCTCAGGCGCCAGCACCTCAGGTTTGGTGAAAAGATTTAGGCACTGTTCCAGTGTGAAGTAGCCAGCTCTGGCCGCCTCATTGGCTGAACTGGGATCTTCAATATACTCCAACTCCTTGGATTCCACTAGCACATACTCCTTCTGTCGCTCATTGTTTTTCCATACCATTGCCAGAGTGACACTGTCTGGCAGCTCCAATGGAGCATCACCTGTGAAGGAGAGAAGCCAGATTGACTAGGTGAGACACCAAACATGAATCAGGAAGATTACAGCACATAACCCTGTAAATGCCGGCATCCTGATGGATAACATCAATAAATTGGAGTGGTTCAACAGTGAATATTTTGCAATTTAAGAACCAGTGTTCACCCTTGGTTTGGGTGAGGGATAAAAATTAGTCAGCAATCCAGAGAAAACTGTCTCTTCTTTCCCTCAAAATCTGTTACATTCCTCTGAGGTGGTGGTTGGAGCCTTGGTTTAAAAATATGCCCTCCAAGAGCACAGGGCATCCTCAATACTGACCCACCAACAATGCAGCCTCCCTCAGTACTGCTACGATCCTGATGATACTACTGGAAAGGTCAGATCTCAGAGTGGAAGCTGATCATATGCTTAATTTTCTCTTTTAGTTAGCTTATGCGATGGCTAGTCTCTGAAATATACACACGAGGCTGCAGAGATCCTTGAACAACAGAATACACATTTATTACACAAAAGAAAAACAAAACAAGCTCTATATACATTCCAGTTATAAAGATTTCAATACATTGATTAAAACAAAGTTTCAGCCTGTCTCCCAACACTAGCCTTTACAAAGACTCAAGTCCAGAGAAATTGTACTCCTATTGCAAATCCACATTTCCACTTAAATTGATTTCTTGCAGTTTCCATTCCTTGAACTGTTGAAAAAATTTCATTATTCCTCTTTGATTCTGATAACAGATGTTTTTAATTCTGATAACCTGTAGAGTTCTGTCCCAAGCTCTCCTGGCTTGGAAACCTCAAGCTACAGGCATAGAAGTTGCAATGACTAGCTCCCTCTGAACTGAAAAATGTTTGCCAGGACAGAAATTAAAAACCTGCTTCTGAATTCAACTCATGAAACTTACCTAAAACTTCTCAGCATTGAATAGAAAACTGCTAGTTTAATGTGCTTACAGTCATAAATCCAGAAGTACATATATCTCATTCCATTAGCACTCCAAGGGTTCTCCCAAACTCGATCACAGTCATGTGCATTCTTGGAAATGGTACATTTAAATTACTGTTGCAGAATGACTGAATTATATTGAAAAACCTCAACATCACTAACCCACATCCACATGCCTCCCCTTTTAAAAACCAAAAAAAGTGACATTGTATTTTGCACATTTTACAACTTGGGTCCTGCACTCTTTAAGAGTGTGACCACCCTAGTCCTGTTACATATGACACCATTGCGATTATGTTTAAGCTAAACTATTATTTCTTGCTCTGTCTGCAGTCATTGATACATTTCAACATTGCGACACGTGAGCAGCCTGCACATTGTAACACAGGTACTTGCCAGCACGTGGCTGAATGGTAGAGTGCACACACATATGCATATGACAGGGTGCAGTGAGGGGTTACAGGGGCATGCAGCAATGACCATGCAGTGCCAAAGTAAAGCAAGAGTCAGACTGCCAATATCAATATGTAGCGATTGATATTTTCCCAGCCCTTTGCTGGAGTTTTCTTGTCCATCAATTCTGATGAGACAGACACTGTTTACTCAAACAATTATATTAGAATAAAACAGATTACACTTTACCAGAAACAGACCTCTTCAGTTCACAGATGGTCAAACCTTTTGAAATTGTATACAGCATGTCTGCCTTGCAGAACAGTTGGATTGAAAAACTCTAGGTTCTTCTCCTGGCTCTGGCAGTGATTGCGACAACAGGTGTCACTGACCATTTGCAAACTCCACTTTATTTCTTCGAAGTGTTTTTCCAACAGCAGGCCCAATCCTAAGTACCCTCTTTGGCCACTCACAATCTGCTCAGCAACAAGTGATAGTGGAAATACATTCCCTACCACTACTTTCCCTCTCCACCACGGCTTGGTATCTGCTAAGGGCTGGGTAGGAGCTGACATCATAGAATCATAGAGCATGGAAATAGACTCTTCAGTCCAACTTGCCTGCGCTGACCAGACATCCATTAAACCAGAGACTGTGTTTAGAAAAGGCTGTGCTACATTCACTTGGTGCAAGTGCTGTGCAATAGCAATCTACACAAGTTTTTCAAAGCAACCGAATTAAACCAGAGATAGAAATGTGAGACAAGGTGTAGAGCTGGAGGAACACAGCAGGCCAAGCAGCATCAGAGGAGCAGGAAGGCTGATGTCTCGGGCCTAGACCCTTCTTCAGAAATGGGGAGGGGAAGGGGGTTCTGAAATAAATAGGGAGAGAGGGGGAGGCGGATAGAAGATGGATAGAGGAGAAGATTGGTGGAGAGGAGACAGACAGGTCAAAGAGGCGGGGATGGAGCCAGTAAAGGTGAGTATAGGTGGGGAGTTAGGGAGGGGATAGGTCAGTCCAGGCAGTACGGACAGGTCAGGGGGGCAGGATGAGGCCTCCTGCAGTGCCACAACGATGCCACCCGAAGGTTGCAGGAACAGCAACTCATATTTCGCTTGGGAACCCTGCAGCCCAATGGTATCAATGTGGATTTCACAAGCTTCAAAATCTCCCCTCCCCCCACTGCATCCCAAAACCAGCCCAGCTTGTCCCCGGCTCCCTAACCTGTCCTTCCTCCCACCTATCCCCTCCTCCCACCTCAAGCCCCACCCCCATCTCCTACCTACTAACCTCATCCCGCCCCCTTGACCTGTCCATCCTCCCTGGACTGACCTATCCCCACCCTGAATCCCCACCTACTCACCCCTTTACTGGCTCCATCCCCGCCTCTTTGACCTGTCTGTCTCCTCTCCACCTATCTTCTCCTCTATCCATCTTCTATCCGCCTCCCCCCTCTCTCTATTTATTTCAGAATCCCCTTCCCCTTCCCCTCCCCCACTTCTGAAGAAGGGTCCAGACCCGAAACATCAGCTTTCCTGCTCCTCTGATGCTGCTTGGCCTGCTGTGTTCATCCAGCTCTACACCTTGTTATCTCAGATTCTCCAGCATCTGCAGTTCCTACTATCTCAGAGATCGAAATGTTCAATGACCAATGGACCCCAAAATAACTGCAGCTGACCTATATTTAAAAAGAGACATTTGATTTTCTTTCGCAAACTGGTTTAGCACAGCAGCTGGCAAAGAGTTTAACAATAATCCAGATTTAATAAACAAAAAGCCTGTTTGCCTCACCTTTATCTTCCATTTTCTGCTCTTTGTTTGAAGCATCAATAATTTTGATGTAAAACTGTGGCGTGTGGAAGCGCACAGACTCAACTGGCTGCTGGTAACCAGGGATTGCAGCTATGGGGTTAAAGAACATTGTAAATTATTTAGGTGTGCAGAAGGTGCTACATACAGAATTGCTTAATAACTAAAAAGTATCAAAAAAGGGAAGCTGCCTGCCTGATAGAATCTTCTCAGCTTCAAATGTATCAGATAAAATTGACAGCGAAACTACCCAGTTCATAGTTTTAAACTTTCTGAAAGGTGCTGCACACGTCTGTAAAGTTCCCTGGGAAGGCTTCTAGACAGAGTAAAAGTTATAAGGAATGAGGCTTATTTGTGTAGTTGTAGAGATAAAGAGCATGGTTAAGGTTCCCAAGGGTGAGTGCTTGTGGCTTTCATTTTCAAATCTATTTTCACCATCTGGATGCAGGCTTCAAACTTGGCTAAATACGCTTACCTAGAACAATAAAGACAGCCGTATACATGAAGATAAAAATAGCACAAGGTTTGTAAACAAAAAAATCTAATTGAACTGATAATCAATGTTTTTCAATGCTGGAATATTATGGATAGGTTTTAAAAATAGATAACATTTGAGATTTAATAAGCAGAAGAATTTAATCAGTTCCAGATGAAAGATCCTGACATGAAACCTGAACTCTGTCTCTCTTTCTCCACTCATACTGCCGTTTCCAATATTTTCTAATTTATTTCTATGCTAGGGTGCTGAGAGTGAAGACACGTTTATCGCTTTCAATATTCAATACACTTTAAAGAAGTTAATAACATGCAAGATCTATACCCAGAAGATAGTGTAATAAGCCCATGCTGAGGGTTTACAAGGTTCAGATCATAACGAAACTGTAATGGACAAAGTGCAGAGAAAGGACACTGATCAAGCGTAACAGTCTGATCTTGCCTTCTCCTAATTTAACAGTATGAAAGCACTCAAGCCCTGAGGTCATACAAGGAGCCAAGAGTAGTGATCTATCCTCACTTGGTCGAAAGTTGCCTGTTTACACAATGTGCCCAATTACACTGCTGTGATAATACACATAATGTAGTGACTGAGTCCCAACTATATGGCAGGCTGTTAACTAGAAGGGGGAATTTCACCCAAGCTTGGGAATTTCCTGACAATATCTTACCATGTGCAGGATAACCAAGAACACTTCACCTTTCGCATGAAGGCTCCAAGTTCATATAGGGAAACCCCACAGCTAAGACCAACAAACCCAGAATAGTGCAAAGTTCTACATGAATAATGCCTGTTGTGGATATTAAGTTGACATATTGGTGTAGACAGTAAGCTGCATACTGCAAGTAGTTTCAGGTCATTATAACCAATATTGTGCAGTAATATATGAGGGGCACTTGTGGTGCAATGACAGTGTCCCTACTTCTGAGCCAGACGGTCTGGGTTCAAGTCCTTTGTGACTGAAAGTGTGTTAAAACATGTCTGTACAGGTTGATTGGAAAATTATTTCAGCAGTAATATGGTCCTGTTTTAATGAAAGGATATTAAGGTAAAACAACAAATTACGCTTCAAAGATAGTAGGAACTGCAGATGCTGGAGAATCTGAGATAACAAGGTGTAGAGCTGGATGAAAACAGCAGGCCAAGCAGCATCAGAGGAGCAGGAAGGCTGACATTTCGGGCCTAGACACTTCTTCAGAAATTTCAGCCTTCCTGCTCCTTGGATGCTGCTTGGCCTGCTGCGTTCATCCAGCTCTACACCTTGTTATCTCAATTACTCTTCAAAGATGGCTCCTAACCAGTTGAGCATTTCCTATTTTCTATTCTGCTCATTAAAACCTTGCTTTATTAATGGTGCACTAAAATCACAACAGAAGATGACTACAGCACCTGGATTTAAGAAAAGACAACATTGCTAAAGCTGCAGGCCATCACTGCTGCAAAAATATGAGATCTGATGCTTGACAACAGCCTTTTCTTGTGCTCTTGTATCTTATTGGAGACGTGCAGATGCACACTGTAGATAAGACTTCTCAGTTACTCAAACTAGGATTTATTACTATACTGCCTTATTAAGATGGATTTGTGAAGGGAAAAAATACACCACCTTCAGGCTTTGGAGCTTTCTCATAAGCGGTTTCCTTCTCACATCCAGTATCTTCTTGGGACAGTGGTCGCATTTCTGAGAATCCAGAGTCGTAGCTGTGAATGGAATCTTTGTCTCTACCTGGCATACTCATGCCCTTTGAGAAAGCAGAAGCCAGCAGGGGCTCAGAAACGGAGCTGGTTAAATGAGTACGGTGCACAGGCCTGAAATCTCTCTCCTGAATCTCCAACGGTATCTTTCCATCGCCAATCTCTGAGCTGGTAGTCGTTCCGGGGCTGGGCTGTACATTCTCCATTTTACAAGGTGGTGGGTCTGGTGAGATCCGGCCTGGCTGGAATGGGGGCTGGAACACGTTTACTGAATACCTGTCAGATAATACAAAAGTATTAATCCGGCCATGTACAGCAAGGCACTTATATAATCATACCCAGTAAAGAATCATAGAATACTCCACAGGAATTGAAATTCAGTTGTGTTGATGCTTTTAAACTATTTATCCAACTTCTTCTTGAATAGAGTCAGGTCCAACTACGGCATTCCAGATTATAATTCATCCAAAGAATTCTTATTTACTCTTTGGTTCTTTTGCCAATTATGGTAAAACTGTGACCTCTTGTCATCAACGCTCCTAATAATGGGAAGTTTCTCATTTACTCCATTGTGGCATTTTCCCATGCAGTGAGAGAGAGTATCCGGTTAGAATCAGGGTGGAGTGATTAGAACTGATTATAATATTCATAATACAGCATTTATCATGCACAACGTAGGATTGTGCCAGGGATTTGGGTGAAACAGCCTGCCACATGGTGGACACTTGGTCACTGCATCACCTGTATTGTTACAGCAGTGCATGTAGGTATCCTACCAAATACAAGGATATAGCATAGCTCATATTGCATTGCACTGAGGATTTGAGTGGGTCATATGCAATTATTAAATTAGATATTTTCACAGTTAAAGGCACTTTGGGCAAATTTGGCTGGTGCTAATGCTACACATGAACCTTCTTCAATCCCCCAACTTCATCTCAAACTACTTATTCCTTTCTCCCTCATGTCTTAAACTAGATTCTCTTAAATGCTTCCTGTCCATTCACCTCAAATGCTGCCTGTGCTAGCAAGTTTCACATTCTAACTGCCTCTAGTTAAAGAGATGGTCCCTTACTGGATTTATTGATTACTATTTGGTACAGATGGCTGCTAATTGCAGACTCTTTAATACTCACACCTTAACAACATTTGCTTGTACCTCACAGTTACGTGACTAAGCTTTGTGTTCAGGAGATTGGGTAAAAAGCCTAGGGGCACCAAGTTCAAGGTCAGGGCCCCCAACTGCTCCTCAGAGCCCGAGACAACTTGTTAGGGAGCAGGTTTCCCTTTGCAGGAGAGACTGGAACAAGAGCACAGAGGTTAAAAATGAGGCCTCTCCATTCAAGACAGAAATGAAGAGAAATTTTGTTCTTTCAGATGGTCATGAGTCTGCAAAACTCTCTTCTGAGAGAGGAGTGGTGCCGGGGTCATTCAATATTTTTACAGCACAGGCACATAGCTTCTTGATGAACAAGGGAGTCAAAGGTTATTGGGGGAAGGTAGGAATGTGGAGTTGAGGCAACAGTCAGATCAGCAATGACCTTCACCTTACTGAATGATGGAGTAGGTTCAAAAGGCTGCATGGGCCTACTCCTGCATTGATTATGATCAGCTAACACAGCACAAGCTGTACATACTTCAAGGGGCATTTAAAATTCACGCCACAAAGCCCATGCGTTGGTGGAACAATGCAACAGCAGTCAGCCATATGACTGGTAGGTCAAAGAAAAATACATCCCAATGACTAAAAGCCTACTTGTAACATCACTATCTGAATGTTTCATAAAACTCCTCAGTAATGCTGAAATAATGTGAAAGGCACGCGGGTGTTACAACTTTTGTTTCAGGAGACAGTGGGAGTAAGGGCAGCTGTTATTTCGATCCAGCGTGGGGTTAATTTATACAGCTCTTTATTAATTGATCCTTAAAATCACAGTACCTTGAGTATCCCTCCAGCAGCTGAGAGAGTCTGGAATACGTGAGCCGGGACTCGGGAACGCTGATTATAAAGGGACAACCAATATTCTCTGCTCTGCACTGGTTTTTATGATCTGACCAATGGTTCATTTGACAAGTCCTGGAGATATAGACACAGACAAAAGGAGAAAAGGAGAAGTTATTTTGAAAGGCTTTTAAAGTAACATTTCCATATCACCAAATGCCCAATTCTCATTGAGCATGCATTACGCAGACTTCTCCTATTGGTCAATTTCAAAAACACACTGAAAAGACAGACAGGTTTCTGACATTCTGCATAACCTGGCTCTTTCATAGTTGCTAGCAGTAATGAACATTTTGACATAAGAATCCGTTCCCTGCAAACAGAAAGTAATAGGCTCAAACTGTGTGCCTTTTTTTGAATTACCCGAGAGTTTGGGTTGTCCTGTTACTTTCTTCATGGCAACGTCTCAGCTAGTCAACTTGCCAACCAAATTGTAGACAAATTGTTGTGATTGTTCAAAATTTGGCATTCTTGCATTCACCCTGACGAATATAGCAAGCTTTGGCAGCATATCTCTCATTTCAAGATACAAGCTCTAAATTGACTAAGCAACTGCCCAAAAATTGCTTTTAAGTTTTGAAACAATTTTTCCTTCAAGGAACACTGCTTTTGTTGGAAGACTAATGACATGATTTATTCACATGGCACTTTGATTCATACTCTGAGCCAGTAGGCCATCTGTGGGAGGTACTGTGGTTATCCAGAGACTTGGATTGCTAATGCAATGAACAAGGGTTCAAGTCCCACTGTGCAGTTTGAAAATCTGAATTCAGTTCTAAAACTAAAATCTGAAAACAACTGAGAAATCCACATAAAGTGACCAAGAAACTGGTGAATTACTTACTAAACCAAATGGGTTTTTATTAAAAAATATATACCAAAGAATTGCGGATGCTGGAAATCAGAAACAAAAACTGAAATTGCTGAAAAAACAACTCAGCAGGTCTGGCAGCTTACGTGGAGAGAAAGCAAAATTAATGTTTCAGGCTCAGTGACCCTTCTTCAGAACTAATTGTAGCTAGGAAAAGGTTGGTATAGATTCTGAAGACGGGGAGGACTAAACAATAGGTGGAGGTGAAGCCCAGAGTGAGTCAACAGTAATTGGACAGACAAAGGAATTGGAAAAGGTCAGCCTGGGAGAATTAACAACTTCTAATGGGGACCATTAGTGGCTGAAAATGGGCTGTTTGTGGTAGCAGTCCATGTGATGATAGGGCTTGGTGTGCAAGGGTAAGAGTAAGGGCATTGGGAGAAAGTACTCAGGCCATAAAATGATTGTACTCAAATTTTGAGTGCTGAAGGCTGCAGGGTCCTCAAGTGGAAAATGAGGTGCTGTTCTTTCAGCTTGTGCTGAGCTTTGCTGCAGCACTGCAGCAAGCTCAAGACAGAGATGCTGGCCAGGGAATAATGTGGTGTGTTGAAGTGGCAGGTAACAGAGAAAGCTTTGTCAGCACATGGCCTGCTACCACAATCAACCCATTTTCAGCTTCTATTGGCCCCTAATAGCAGGTGTTGTTTAGCCTTGCTAGCAGCTTGCTGGACTTGCATGTTAGCCTTTCGAGACTTTGAAAGGGATACCCAGGTCCCATTTCAAACTTTCCAACCTCTTAGTATTTGAGAAATAATCTGCACTTTATTTCTCCCACCAGGGTGGATAACCTGACATTTCAGTGAGCTACCATTAATTCTCCATGTGCCAAGTATTACCAAACTGATACTGAGCAATCAGCAAGGGCAATAAATGCTGGCTTTGCTAGGAATACTCACAGGGAAAGAATGACAAGACATTTTATGCCATTCTAGAACCTGAGCACCCCACAGTGTAAAAGTATTGCATTTTGAAAGAAACCACCATCATGTGGATGAAGCATTTTATACTTAAAAAAATCATTCATGGAGTGAGGGAGTCATTGATAAGGACAGCATTTATTGCCCAAAGGGCAGTTCAGAGTCAACCACATTGCCGTGGGTTTGGAGTCACACATAAGCCAGACCAGGTAAGTGTAGCCGTTTCCTTCCCTGAAGGACATTAGTGAACCAGCAGGATTTTTCCAACAGTGGATTCATGATCATCATTGGACTCTTAATTCCAAATTTTTATTGAATTCACATTAAACCCAGGTCCCCAGCACACAATGTGGATCTCTGGATTAACAATCCAATGATAATACCAGTAGGCCATCGCCTCCCCTTGGGAGGTCAGATAGATTATTTTTCTCTGTTGTGCTATTGCCTGCCTGATGATGGTCATTCTGCTATGGTACAATTTCACATGCAGCCAATAATAGCTCACCAAGTTCAACAGCACTAATCGAATTCAATAAGTTGGTTTATCAAACATCAACTGCTTGCAAAAAGCATGAAGATATCAAAGCAAAGATATCATCTTAGACACAAAAACAAAGTTGCTGGAAAAGCTC